GTGACCTCACATGCAAAAATGCCCAAAGGCTGCTAAAATAGCAAAGAAATGAGAAAGTCTAGATATAAAGAACACGAAGCAAGGCAGAATCATTAAAGAAATTAGAGAGGATGAAAATAAGGCCAACTTTGAACCAAAACACACAAATTGGTTTTGAATAGTTTTCCACATAAGGAACATTCATCTCCCACTCTGGTTCAAGGACAGCTTAGAGATCCTTTTTCAGATCGTGCACGTGACAGCAGTAACTTAAATAACTGCACGTTTCTTAGAATCGGCAATATCAGCTCTAGGAAGGAAAAAAAGTGTCTGGAACTGGGACAAGGCAGCAGATTTTCATTGTTTACTCCAACGTTTCACAAGCAGTTTCCTTTGTCAGGCAACAATTGATGTGCCATGTATCATTAAAGAATAAACCGATTTATAAATAGCATGAATACAAGGAGAACCCCATTGTTCTTACTTGTGCTGGTAAATATGAGACACGCCAGATAAGACTTCTCTGAAGTGGGTTTCAAGTTCTCTAACTAAATTTAAAGCCTTCCATTAGCCAGCTGGGTTTGAGAAGTAGCACCTTCAGTGTTTGGCCCCACCAGGGCAGCCCTTTTCCTCTCTCAATCAGATGATGGGTGACATTACACCCCTGAAGTGGTACCAGCCCAAGGGATGCAGGAGTGACACAGAGCAAACCGTTCCCCAGCTTAAAAGTCCAAGATTCCCATCAATCATGAAGTATTCACAAGAAGTAGCTACAAATGTACAAGTGCAAAAGAAAACCCAGTGTCTCATTTCTCCCTGTCTGCAAATGAAGATAATCCACTCTCTTTTGAGAGGATATTTAACATTCACAGGTAAAAGGCAAGAACCAGGACCACAGATCTGCCTCTCCAATTATTTCCATTTTCAAATCAATACCATCACTAAACCTTTCATTTGAAGTCTGTACACTTTCCTCACTGACACCCTTCCTTGAAAACTACGAACCTATTTAAAGTGTATGAAAGATGTTGAACTGAACAAGCAGTTCACCTCCCCTATTGTCATTTGRCATAGATGATGTATACATCACTACACATGATCTATTTACAGGGACTACTGGCTCCTAGCAAACCCACAGCTCCCTTCAAGGAAGCCACCCACCAAAGGGTTAAACATGCAAACTGGAGATCCTGTCTAATTCCACTTAATCCCTGGTAACACAGCACAGAGGATAAGGTATTGTCCCTGGGTTCCTACTATCGCTGCCAGACACAAACCAGGGTACAGCACACGACCACCCAAAATATCCCACAGCACAAAGTCATTGTTTGAGCAGGCAGGACTCATGCATTGTGCAAGTGATGCCAACAGGCATTAGTAACTCTATAGTAAATATAAAATCATGACAGTGAAACCCTCAGCCCTGCCCAAAACGTTAAAATAAGATTTTTTGCTGGAGAGCCAAGAGAAAGGAGTTAAGCTATTGCTGAGGGCTTTTTTTGTAGCAGAATGCTTAAAAAGGTACAAAATGGCAAACTGAAGGGATCCCTTCAGGACACCTACATTATTCTTTTTACATGAGATCAACAGTGCAACACCTAACAGTTAATACAAGAGGCATTGGAAAAGCTAAGACTGATCCCAAAACAAAAAACACAAGATCAAATCATCTGGTTTGTCACTGAAGCTTACAATAAGGACAAAAAACCAAAATAAAATTTAAAAAAACAAGCTTTCACATTCAACAACTGCCATCCAAAATTACACCATCCAGCTGCAAAATACACTGGAACAAGCACTTGGGTTTTCTTTACAAATCTTAAATATTTGGTATTTGAAGATTTTACCCACCACTTGTACTTTTCTAACACACAACCCCACCATCACCATCACTTTTCTCTCCATACAGTAATAACATGCATCAAAACATACACAAGACAAAAGCTACTGCTAAAAGAAATAAGCACAAATTGTAAATAAGCATCTTTGTTTACTAAACTTTTTGCTGTTACTTTACTGAAAATAATGGAATGCTTCAGTTCCAAGGCATTTGGGTTCAGCAAGGTACTCCTCCTTCAGTTAGAACACTAGATGGACCTTCTCCATATATTTGGTATTATTTAAACAGCTATAAAATAAATTAGTGACAGAATTTGGGAGGCGGGGGAAGGGGAAATGATCACACCATCTCCCAAGGACAAGGATTAATTCACTTCTGGAACAAGTGGTTTCACGCAAGCCTGCCCTTCTTTCATGCTGCCTGCTGGCAAGACAAAGCCTGGTCAGTGTTTGGAAACTGTAAATATCTCTATTTCACACCAGGTATCCGTCACCCAAACCCATTGCTGGTGTCTGCATCAGACAAAAGATCTATTAACTTCCTTACTCCTGCCAATCTCAGGCAGCACGTCYAGCACTGGGCAGCTCCCCACGCTCAGTTGTTCACTCACACACCACGGTGCAATTGAGATGATTTCTGCCATCAGGGCAGAGAGCATAGAAAGCAATGAAGTACAATCATGTAGGCAACATTAAGAATCCCCTATTACTGTTTTTCCCTTTTCTTTAACCATACCGAGACACAAAACCCAACATACTCTTCAGAAGAGAAGGAAGAAATATAATACACAATATTCACGCTTTTTCCCCACCAAAAAAAACAAAACAAAAAAATCCAAACCAAAACCAACAAACAAAACCAAATAGAAAACAAACAGAATCCAGGTTATGTGTGCAGAGAACTGTCAGGCATAGTGACATCAGACCTATCAGGCTTTGTCTTCACACCTGCACTGATGCTTTACAACTTCTCTTTTCTTGGGGGAACCTAAAGTCAGCCAGTCTCTATCYTATAAACTACAACAAAGTTCAAGACATTATGGACCAAAGAACACTTCAGTTTAGTGGCTGTAAATATTCCACTGGTTTCCACACACTTTTTGTCTCTTGTCATTTTGCTCTACCACAAGGCAAACCATTCCCTGAAAACCCAGGGTGGAATAAAACACTAAATCTTCTGGATTACACATTTGATGCACAGATCATGCAGAGCATGAGKGTGTTTTAAGGTGGGTTGTTCATGAGCACTGGCTAATTTTTGATAAATTGGATTGACAGCAAACACTAAGACCAAAACACGTGCACYGCATACATCACACCAAACCCCAAAACCCTTGCCATCCATAAGAAAGGTGGAAAAAAAAGCTGTGCTGCTTATTCAGCACCCACTGACAGACAGCTTGCACAAAGAATGTCACTGTAGCAGTTCTTGTGTTGGACAGCAAAAACCTTCCAGAGAAATCCCATCAGTTAAGAGAAAGACCGCATATGGTTATGTTTTTGGAAGTTGAAAGCTGATCATAATTTATAATACATTTATAAAGAAGCACAGTAAGCTAATTACATTTGGGAGAAGACACATTTTAGAGGCTATAAAGATACAACCAGTAATAGGAAATCCTAACTGTTAATTATGCCTCTCAATGTTCCTTACAGAATAAAACATTTGCTTGTGATTTCAGCAGTGGTTTGTATTCAACAATGTAAAAGTTGTTTGAAGTTTCAATGGTTGTTCTCTTCCCTCTAAGCAAATATTCATGTTAAATGCTTTTACAACATGTAAGAATATTGCAGCCATAGGGTTGGGTCTCCTTTGAGTCCTTCCCCARTCAAGAAACTCTTTGCTCAGACTCAGAGTTGAAGGGTTGAGCCAAATATGATCAAATACCCAATGCCAAAGGCCTGACCCTCAAAACAACTGTCCATCAAGACAAAATATGACACAATAAGAAAAAAATTATAAAAGTCCATCTTTTGCAAACTGCTAGCAGAGATCACTAAGACCTGCATAACAGGAACACTCACATTAAAATAATACAAATTATTTATACCAACAGCACTACTAAAACAGGTTGTTTTCCAACACAGAACTGTTCATCAAAACATGACAACCAGCAGCACACTGCACACACGTGCAAAGAAATCTCTGAGATGAACWGTGCTCAAATTCTCTGACAATTACTTTGGAGAGCATCTGTCACTGCCAGTATAGGACAGCAAGGTTACACACCTACACAGATCAGACTTAACCTGCAGCAGAAACAAAAAAACAGCTTTGAAGAGGAAAACCTACAGCTGCCAAGTAAGAATTAGAAATACCACTTTTGTAAAAACAAACAGGAAAAAAAAATCATACTCTGCAAACCAGAGTATGAAAACTAAGTCAGAATTCCCAGGAGGAAGTACAATGATAAGTAATGCCTGGGATCTGGAGGGCTGTCAGCACTGAGGGAGTATGTTCACCTGGAGAGGGAAATGGTTGAACCATTGCACATGACCATCATCCTCAGCTGGCTGACCCCTCAGCAGTGCCAGCCCCAAATTTCCAAGGAATGGAAGTCAAACAGCTCATGGTGCAGTGCAGAAGGCAGCTCCAGGAGATGCTGCAACTTCAAACAAACACAAGACTCCTTTTCACACCTGGATTCTCARTATTCCCACAGAGGACAGCAGGAATGGTGTGAATGATCAGTTCTGTGACTCAAGACAGAGCAAATAAAACACCTGGACTTCACAGGTGACATTCCAAACCTGTTTTCCACCCTTTGCTTTTGAAGCTAGTCAGGCACAAAGCTCTTAAAGACCCTTCAGTCAAGGCACAAAACCTTTAATGACCCTTCAGTCAAGGCACATGGCTTTGTGATAAGGCAAGTTTTCAACTAAAATGTTACACCATTACCACCTGCAATATCAAAGAACAGAAACAGGACCTTTTTCCTACTCATCAGTGAGTTAGGCAAAAAAATAACCTAAAGTGGAGGTGTGTGAAGAGACCTGTTATCCCAGGGACTTAGCCAGGCAGGGATGGCAACAACTTCCATGACTGGAGACACCAGATAAACTGTTCAGAGCCAGTTCTCGTGTCCAACACTGGCACGATGACCTCAGTGAAAGACCAATCACAACCCTGGAATTTCAAAGGAGCAAAAAGAGAGGGAAATAATTACTGAATAAACCATTACCTCTGCTCGTTGCGTGCGGGGCAAAACAGACGACTTTTCAATGGCATAAACATCCACCAAGTAGAGCCGTGCTCCCTGCTCCCTGTCCAGAATGGCAGCRGTCTGGATGACCCCGGTGTGGCGCCCGATGGTGAAGAGGCGCCCCAGGCTCCGGTCATCGCAGCGAACGGACACGATGTAATATTCCACCTGAGCCTCGGAGCCCCGCGGGCTCGCYGCCTCCAGGGATATCACGTTTGTCCCGATGGGCTCGCCCTCTTTCAGGATGGTGATGTACTTTGGCTGAGTGAAAACAGGCCCATCGACCCCTTGCAGAATTATRGTCATCTCAGTGGTGGATTTTCTCCTCTCGGGGCCGAGGTCGGTGGCAGAAACGATGAGATTGTACATGAGCTGAGAAGGCACCAAGGCCGAGGCCACTCTTAAATCTCCGCTGTARCGATCCACAATGAAAGTCTCGGTGTCTCCATTGACTATCTCATATTCCACCTCCCCATTGGCACCCTCATCAGGATCCGCAGCGATAATTGTGGTTAGGATTGAACCGATCACAACCGAGGGGTCGGCCGCGAGGGCGTTTTGCGACACGAACACGGGGACGTTGTCATTTTGGTCCGTCACCAGAATGGTCACGTTCTTGAGAGCAAAGCGCCTGGACTCCACAGGAACGGCCTGATCGGTGGCTTTGACCRTTAACTCAAAGAGATTGGCAAACTCCCGATCGATCTCAGCGTTGGTAAATATGGTCCCYCTCACCTCATCTATCCGGAAGTGATTCCCCCTGGGCATCTGCTGGATGATTGCATAYGTTAGCTGCCCGTTAATATCCGCATCTGGATCCTGGGCAGTCACGGAAATCACCGAGCTGCCRACAGGAACGTTCTCAACAATCGACTTGAAGATGTCTCCCGGAGGAAAATGAGGAGGGTTATCATTGAAATCCCTAACGTGTATCACCACTGACATCGTAGACGACCGCGGGGGCCTGCCTTGGTCTTTYGCCGTTATGTTTAGCTTATACAGAGATTGAGTCTCAAAGTCCAGTTTCTTGGCRAGAAAAATACTCCCCGTGTTGGGACTGATGCTAAAGGTCCCGTGATTGTTTGTCCCCGTAATGCTATAGTGGAGGTCAGCATTGTCACCTGAATCAGAATCGGTGGCAGTGACGGAGGACACCAGTTCACCAACCCTCATGTTTTCCAAGACATCCACTAACAAGGTTGATTTAGGGAAGGAAGGACTGTTGTCATTTTCATCCAATACATCAATGCTCAACATGCAAGTTGAGCTCAGGGAAACAGCTCCAGAGTCCACGGCTTGGATGACAAGGGAATAGGATGCAGTAGCCTCATGATCTAGCTTGCCTACTAAGGTCACTTGGCCTGTGCTGCTGTCTATTGCAAACTGATTTTCTTCATTCCCCTTGATTACAGAGTAGTGAATCAACCCATTAACCCCTTCATCAACATCTGAGGCAGAAACTCTYAGCACCTGTGTCAGGTTTGCTGCCAATTCAGATATAGTAGCTTGGTAAAGATCTTTCAAAAATTTGGGGGCATTATCATTGATGTCTTTCATGTAGATCTGTACAGTTGCCTGATCCTTTAAAGGCTTTGGCAACCCCTGATCTGTTGCTATTACTGTGAGACTAAAGACTGCAGCTCCCCTCTGCCTCATAAGAGCTTCTCTGTCAAACTGATGAGTGCTTCTGATCTCCCCAGTTACTGTGTTCAGCTCAAAATCTGGCTGCATATGCTCAAACGAATACCTGACCTCCCCATTTGGCCCAAAGTCTTTATCTACAGCATTTATTTTACCTACATAGGACCCTCCTCTCTGCTCCTCTTCAAAATAAAACACGTAGGTGGTACTGTTGAACAGGGGCCTGTTATCATTTACATCCTCCAGAATCACAGTAACATTCACAGTAGCATTGAGGGGTTCTACCGCTCTGTCAGAAGCGACAACCAGCAAAACATATCTTTCCTGAAGTTCACGGTCCAGTTCACTTTTTATATACAGCTGACCATCTGGGAATATGCCAAAGGCATCCCCAGCATTTCCTTCAATTATGCTGTAAGCTATTTCACCGTTCACTCCGGAGTCTTTGTCAGAAGCCTGCACTTTAAAGAACCTGGAATTYACAGGCTCTGACTCCAAAATAGTGACTTGATATGAAAGCTGGTCGAACACAGGCGGGTTATCGTTTACATCATGGACAGAGACAGTCAGGATAAAGTTGGAGGACAGCTGTGGCACTCCCATATCCGAGGCCAGGATTTCAACCTGGTAAGAGCCAGCATTTATGTCTAGTGGCCCCGTTAAGCTTATAGCACCAGTTTGTTCATTGATTGAAAACAAGCCCTTTGGGTTTTGCTTAAGGCTGTAAAGGACCACACCATTAACACCTTCATCGGGATCAAGAGCTTTGGCCTGGAATATAGTATGCCCAGCTTTCCAGTTCTCAACCACATTGACACTTTCCACCACGTGCACGAAGTGTGGGGAGTTGTCATTTAAATCTTTGACAGTTATATTGACCACGGCATCACCAGTTATCGCCCCACCTCTAGCGACCACCTTCAGCTGGTAAAAYGCTTGCTCCTCCCTGTCAATAATACTGGCTGTGGTGATCTGCCCTGTCGCCCTGTTGATGGCAAACATGCCCCTCTGGTCACCTGTCGTAATGAGGTAACTGATGTTGGTGTTGAGGTCCATGGTGGAGGCATAAACAGTACCCACGTGGTAACCCAGAGCAACRTTTTCAAAGACAACAAAACTGTACGTGCCCTGGCTGAAAACAGGTGGGTTGTCCTGGGTGTCCAAGACAGTGATGGTGACGATGGCTTGGTTCTGYGACTGAAGATGGCCACCATCAGTGGCCACGATCTGCAACTGGTAGGCAGTTTTCTCCTCCCTGTCGAGGGCTATTTTTGTTGTGATGACCCCTGTTTGCCCATGGACCTGAAACCTGGAGGTATCTCCAGCTGAGATGCTGTACTTGACTGTCCCATTGGGTCCCAGGTCAGGGTCCGTGGCAGACACTGTGGTCACATAGGTTCCAGCTGGCTCATTCTCTTGGATATGGGCAAAATATTGAACGGGGTAAAACACAGGGCTRTTGTCATTCACATCCAGGATGGTCACATTAACTCGGGCTATGGAAGAAAGGGGAGGAGAGCCCAAATCAGTGGCCAGGACCTGCAGGGAAAAGTGAGACTGCTCCTCCCGGTCCAGCTGTGAGATGGTGCTGAGCTTGCCTGAAACTGGATCCAAGCGAAACATCTGRCGAAGGGTCACAGGAGCGGGGCCAACTGCTGCCAGCGCTGGCTCASCTTCCTGCAGGGAGAAACGAACAGTCCCATTGTCCCCCAGGTCCCCATCAGTGGCGCTCAGGACCAGCAGCTCAGTTCCTGATGGGGAGTTTTCAGCCAAGGACACCTGGTAGCCCTCAGGTTGACCAAAGCGAGGTTTRTTGTCATTGACATCCAGGATGGTGACCACCAGCTGTGCGTAGGAGAATTTGGGCTGTACCCCCTGATCACGGGCACTGATGTTGAGCACCACCTGAGAAGCGGTCTCCCGGTCCAGCCTGCTGGAACTGGCTGTGCCTGCCATGTGCCCGGCAGTGCCACCCTCGGGGCCGGCCGTGGTGACCAGCCCGCTGTGCTCGCTGATGCGGAACCAGCCCAGCTCGTTGCCCGACACGATGCTGTACTTGAGGTTGGCGTTGAGGCCCGAATCACGGTCCGTGGCACTCAGGCCCCGAACATAACTGCCCAGGGGCACGTCCTCGCTGATGTTCACCCTGTACACCGACTGCCCGAACACGGGCGGGTGGTCGTTGATGTCATTCACAAAGATCACCARGCTGGCGACCGAGGAGCGGCTCACGGGAGCCGCCACCGCTCCGTCGGGGGAAAAGGCAGAAGTGGGGGAGCCTGGAGGTGGCGGTGGGGCCCCRTAGTTATCGGCCACTGCCACGGTAAGGTTATAGGATGGGATGCGCTCCCGGTCCAGCGCGGCCGCCACCTTGATAAGGCTGAGGTTGGGTACCTTACTGCTGTGCACCTCGAAGTGCCGCTGCTCGTTCCCCGCCAGGATCGACACCGAGATGTTCCCGTTGGCCGCGGGAGAGTCRGCATCGCTCACCGTCAGCAGGGCCACCACCGTGCCAGGGGCCGCGTTCTCATCCACAGAGGCAAAGCGGGAGGTGGCCGGGAAGTAGCGGAACTTSACCCGGGGCTCGTTGTCGTTGACGTCGAGCAGGCGGATGAGGGCCTCGGCCCGGCCGCTCAGCGCCGGCACCCCGCGGTCCATGGCCTGCACGGTCAGCGAGTACTGCTGCCGCATCTCGTAGTCCAAGCGCTCACGGATGCGGATCACCCCGCTCTCRGGGTCCACCTCGAAGGGGAGGCTGCCGGCCCCATCCCCAGCACCGCTGCCGCTACCATCGCCTCCCTCCAGACGGTAGCGGATGTCAGCGTTGGTGCCTTCGTCGGCATCGGCCGCGGTGACCTGGAGAACGCTGGCCCCGACGGGCGCATCCTCAGGKACTCGCGCCTGGTAAAGCGTCTGGCTGAAGAYGGGCGGGTTGTCATTGATGTCCTGGACGGTGACGTTGACCTGAAGGTACCCSCGCCGACGGGGCTCGCCCTTGTCCTCCACCTGCACCAACAGCTGGTAGGTGGGGGTGGCCTCCCGGTCCAGCCCTCCGCGGGAAACCAGGTGCAAGAAAGCGCCCTCGCCGCTGGGGTTGAGGGTGATGTTGAGGCGGAAGCGGCCCTCCTCGTTGCCGGCCACAATCCGATAGGAGCCGTGGTCCACGCCGTTGGTGCCGCTGTCGGCGTCGGTGGCGGTGTCCAGGATGAGCTGGCGCCCGCTRCCCGTGTCCTCCTTGAAAGTCACCACGATGGAGGGGTCGGGGAAGACGGGCGCGTTGTCGTTGAGGTCGAGCACCAGGACGCGCACCTCGCTGGGGTAGGTGGGCTGGCTGGAGAGCACCACCAGGTCCACCACGTCGCTGGCCAGGCTCTCGCGGTCGATGGTGGCGCGGGTGTGCAGCGCGCCCGAGGTGGCGTTGATGGCGAAGAGCTCGTGGTGCTCGCTCAGGCGGTAGGTGAAGCCGGGCCGGGTGGCGATGGTGCCCACCCAGGTGCCGGGCGGCTGCTCCTCCAGCACCCGGAACACCTGGCGCGGCTCCGCGGCGGCGGCGGCGCTCCCCAGCGGCGGCAGCAGC